GGGGGTGGGCGTGGGGGGCCCTGTCCTGCGCACTGTGCAATGTTCTACGCACTCGATGCCAGTAGCTACCCACCCACTGCACCCTGGTTGTGACAAAAACGTCTCCAGACTGTGCCAAATGTCCGGGGGAGGGGGGCAAGAATTGCACACACACACACCTTGCACACACACACACCTTGCGCGCACACACATACACACCTTGAGAACTGCTGCCGTAATGGAAAAAGTACTGGCTTTGGAGCAAGATATGTAGAGGTTAATTGTGAATTTTCTGCTACTTGCCAACTACATCTTGAATTAGTTTCTAAACCATTCTGAACCCCAGGTGACTCTTTTCTAAAATGTAAAAGATGCTACGACTTTGTAGTTGCAAGGACTACTATGTACAGTGCCTGGCATAAAGCTATTCAACAAATAATAGTTTCCTCTCTTCTAAGACTGCTGTCTCAGAAGAACTGGTGTGTCAGGGGATTCAGGCATAAGCTAGTTACTCGGGACACTATGACAAGGGAAAGGAATAAGCCAGAAAACCCATTATAGTAACACCCCAACTTCTGGTTCACTAAGACTCTAGGGACAGGAGAAAATTAGATTCAAAACCAGGAATGCGTGTGTGGCTCCAACAACAAAGGTCATTTAAAAGGATGCAGGGGCAGAAAGGTATTACTTAAAGAAAAACTCTCCTGCAGCGCTGCCTGGCTGAGTAGCTCAGTTGGTTAGAGAGTCATCCCAATAAGCCAAGGTTGTAGGTTCCATCCTGATCAGGGCACTTACAAGAATCAACCAATGAATGCATGAAAGGTGAAACAACAAATCTCTCTCCCTCTCTCTCTCTCTCTCTCTCTCTCTCTCTCTCGATAATAATTTTTAAAAAAGCCCTCTCACCTACCTACTCACTAATGCTTGCTATCCCTGCTTAAGAACATAAAGCCTTTTATTCCATTACTAGCATCTGGAAAGTACCTTGCATATAATAGGCCTCCAGTAAGCATTTGTTAAATTGAATTAGAGCTAAATCTTAAAGGGTAAACACCCCGGGGAGAAGCAACACAGTGACTTGATTCACACAAAGGTGATGCCAGCTCTTCTTATGAAAAGCAGATCTGGGAATGAAAAGTAGATTTTTCTTTGAAATAGGAAATGATTGGGAGAGGACAGCAAATGGGAAAGGATTCTGAAGACAATATTGCTTGTATCCAACTTCAACTGAAGTCATCTTCATTTCATTATTTGTATTTTGTTCCAATTCTTTCAAGAAGTGTACAATGGTTTTTCTCTCTCCAGTTTTAGCAGTGGACATATTCTCATATGTGCAATTTAATTTGCCCTTGGCCTTCACTCTGTGTGTATAAATGAGAAAGTCCTTTCTGGTTGCTGTTCCTAAGAGGTGATCCATGGGCAGGTACATATAGCTAGTATGTGCTTATTGTGGAATTAGCTCAGGGACACCCTTCCATTGGGGGGATCACCACCAGTGATTCCTGAGTAAGCATTCCTGAAGACCTTTTGTTGAATATTTAAGCATGAATTTCTCATCGTTTTGAAATTATTCCAATGATATATTTTTGTCATTAATATCTAGAAACTTGGATATCTGTATTTTAGAAGGAAAACCTTTTATTCCCCTAATGAATTGGAATGTGTACTTTTATTATTGGGTTTATCATTTTGTCTTGGTGACAGGAAGCTCAAAAGTAAGATTTGTGTTCAGTTGCAATAGCTATTCTTGGCCGATTTTTCTACTTACCTCTTTAATTCCTTATATTAGGCAAGTGACTTTTGTTCTTTTATTTTAATGGCTCAGTGGCACCTATACTTTACTAGATGAGCTGTAAGCCCTTAGGAAATGGAGATATAAAATAAACTATATAGTATACATGCCATAATATATAGCCTAATACGTATTTTATTATATTTTAATACATATTATTTTTAAATGTATTATTATATATATTTAATCTACATTATTATAGATGACCCTTAATTTCATAATCCAGAGAAATCCTGAAATTTATATTTGCTTGGACATGCTTAGCACCATCAATGAAAATCATCTAATAAATGCAGTAAAAACAATGAGAGATAAAGGCCAAGATAATCTTTTCCCATTCATTTGGTTATTAGGAGCATGCTTTAATCTTTAAAGTCCCTGAAGGACAAAAACAAAGAACATTCAGGAAATATGTTTTAAGGACTACATACCAGGCAGATTAAAAGGAATAATGAAATAGTGTGTGTGCACTTTGTATTGACTTCAGTGTCAAAACAAAATCCCTCAGGTGTTGGTGACTGAAGAATACTTGAGAAGTCAAGCTCTGGACTTCCTTATTCCCCAGTCAAAAGGCTATAGCTATGGGTTCATCTAATAACTACATGAGGACATGGAACTTTAGAGCTTGAAGGTATTGGTATGTTATGAAGTAATGAATTGATTTGCTGTTTGTCACTAGAGGGGCCTTTGGGAAGATTTTAAGCTGTATCCCTCCGAGGGAGGCTGCCATGCCAAGGCAATATAAACCTACAAATCTTACTCAAGGGACGTAAGGAGTGAGAAACACTTTGAAAAGTGACCCCAAGGTAGAGCTGCTCCAATTACAGCTGGTGACATGTGCACTGAGTTCTTTGGTGAGCACAAGAAGAAATTACTGTGTTAACTAAAGGCCCTTCATGGATTAAAATATTGTCAACTTGATTTGTCTTAGTTTTGTTGTTAAAGCAGGAGAGAACAAGAATGGCTATAATTCTCCATGAGGCAATACGTGCCTAACGGCTACACAAGAAGTACAGGTAGACAAAAAACAGTGATAAGTGCATAAACTGACCCCAAACAACCATTATGAGTTCTCTTAAGGGATAGAATCCTGATCGCTGGACACAAATACAATCTTAGAACACGATCGTAGGAACTAATCCATAGAAAATGATCATTCTCAGAACTCTAACATCACACAGAGTTTGCACTGCACTCTTTAATATGTTCCATTTCACATTTTATTTTCATTTTTCCTACAGTTGAAAAGAGCTCAAGATTCTGATGCTATAGGTAGCTTAACTGGCTTCTTGCTGCAAACAAAAGACTTGCTCATGTTGTGACCCTTTAGTGAAGGCTGCTGGGATTGCAGATATTAGGCCCGCTAAGAACTGTCTGGTCTCCATTGCTCCAGTTTCTCCCCAGCTGTGTTCTTTAAATCTTTTTGTCCAATTAAGAGAACAAGTCTCTGCGAACAGAATTTAATCATTCAGCAGTTACTAGGTAACCTGTCCCTGTAGCTTAAGAAAAGCATTTTCTTGTTCTTTCACTGCCAATCAGCTGCCACAATGCATCAGGGATTAAGCTTTGGCTAAAGGTTTGATAATCTCCACCCTATGTGTTCTCTGTTTACAAGTGGCTTCCCCATTAAAATTAAAGCAAAACTAAGCATAACCAAGCTGTCAGTCTCTTCTGGTAACATACATATTTTTTCACTTAAAAAGTAGAGTTTGGAGTTTTAACAATTAATGGATTTCTGGGGAGTTGTAATAAAGCTCTTGTGAGTGCATCCATGATTCACAAACTGCCACATTCAAATTGATTTTTTAAAACCTGACACGTTTTAAGCCCCCAGTGAAATCCTTTACTGGTGTCCTATGTGGTGTTTCTATGGGATTCAATTTCTTCTCCAGTCACACGTTAGTTCTTTGCCCTTTAGTGTGTCTGCCTGCAATAGACTCCAGCACTTTAAATTATTAGGCCAAATGACACAAAATTGCTATTTTATAAATCAAAGTGATCAATACAATATCATTTAGTTTGATCTAAATTGTTCGGAGAGCAACATTGGAAGCTTAGCTTTAAATTTAGGCTGCATCAACTATTTCTTTTTTAAAAAACATTGATTTGAGAGAGAAGGATGGAG